AGTGTTAATAATGCCATGATCATTTCTGGATCCCATTTCACAATCATCCACCTCTCATAACTATGTAACTGTGCACAGAATCACAGAATTGGAAAAGGACCATACTGTCCAGGGATCAAATATTGTATACCCTAAGCACCTGAGAAAACAGATATTACTATCGGATGAAATCCTGTCGGAGATTTACTGTATACACACAACTATAAGTTGACTTCATGTGTAAGTCGAGGGCAGGTTTATAGGGCAAAATTGTGGATATTTATGTGACCTGTGGATAAAACTTCTAGAACAGCTTGACAGTGAAAGATGCAGCCTCAGAGAGTAGAAAAGTCTTCTTCTTTGGAGGTTTTCAAACCAAAGTTGGAGGGCCATCTATTGGGATTGCTTTGATGGTGTCTTCCTGTATGGCAGAATGTGGTTGGGCTAGATGGCCCTTTGGAGTCTCTTCCAGTTCTAGGATTCTAATGATCCTCTCTGCACTCTCCAGGATGCTCCTTTTTCCAGCAAAAAAAATGAATTATTTATATTAAAATCCTCCAAGAACAACAATTGACCCTTTAAATAGATTGCAAATCTCCCCCCTCCATTGCACTCTTTGACATTCTTTTAAAACCAGAAATGGGTTTCTGCCCAATGGGAAGGGGACAGTTATTTTTGGTTATTGTTGTTTGTGATATCCTTGGAAGATGCTAAAGGTACAAAATTGGGTCCCAGAGACTTTATTATTGTATATATTTGTCTATTTATTTATTTAATGACCTAATTTTCTCCCACTAAGGTACAATGAAGACAGCTTACAATATAGGTTAAAATGTGGCTCAGGTACAAAACACAAAAGTTCAAAAACCATTCAACAAACAAGCCAATAAAAATGTTAATTTAAAGTAGGACAAAGTATTCAGTAAGTAGTGAAAAAATAAAGTGTAGCCAGGAAATAAAGCATTAGCTAGGAAAAATGCATCAATCTGGAGGTAAAATGCATCAAAGAAGGATTTGGAAGAGCCCTAGGTTTACAAGTTGTGCCCATATCTGGTAAAAAAAAAAAAGATCTTTTTCAAAGAAGAGTCTGTACTTAACACAACAAACTTTCTGAAAAGCAGAAACTCATGGCTTAAACACAGCATTCTCTGAAGATGCCAACCACAGATGCTGGCAAAATGTCAGAAATAAAATCTTCTCGAACACAGCCACAAAGCCTGCAAAACCCACAAAAAAACTACCTGAAAGACAATTAACAACCTTGCAGCCTAGCAGGCCTGTGTGCTAATCTATAAATGCCAAGGATGTTAATGCTAAAAAGACCTTTGAACATTTATGGCCAGTGTTAATAATGCCATGATCATTTCTGGATCCCATTTCACACCCATCCACCTCTCATAACTATGTAACGGTGCACAGAATCACAGAATTGGAAAAGGACCATACTGTCCAGGGATCGTTTATTGTACCCTAAGCACCTGAGGAAATAGATATTACTATTGGATGAAATCCTGTCGGGGATTTACTATATACACACAACAATAAGCTGACCTCATGTATAAGTCGAGGGCAGGTTTGTAGGGCAAAATTATGGATTTTTATGTGACCTGTGGATAAATCAAGGGTAAAATTTAGGGGCAAAGTATATAAAGGATGAAGCAAAGGAAATGAAGCCAAAGATCTTACAAGATTCTGGCACGAACATTTGCTTGTGCTCAGCATAAAGATTAGATGGATAAAGAAGCAACTATGGTAAATGGTGGTTGTGTGATAGGGCAGGCACTGGTGGGGCCAAGAAAACATACATGTCAAAAAAGATGAAAAGTCCATGGGATTTTTTTGGCAAGTTTCTTCAGAGGGGGTTTGCCATTGCCATCCTCTGAGGCTCAGAGAGTGTGACTTTCCCTAGGTCACCCAGTGGGTTTCCATGGCAGAGCTGGGATTCGAACCCTGGTCTCCAGAGTCCTAGTACAGTGCTCTAACCACTACACTACACTGGCTCTTTTCCTTAGTTATACATTATTTAATTATACACAACTAAGCAGCAAATGTCCAATATTGGCCGTAGTTGTTGCAGAGGGAAAAAACCCTGCCTGTTTCTCTTCATAGAAAAATCCTCCACGACACTCAGGTAGGTTCAAATTACAGAAGAAACTGTACAAAAGTCTTGCTGCTCTATTATTCTTCTCGCTGGGGCTTCCTACCTGTTGGGAAACCCATTTTTTCACTAGGAAATGACTAGTAGATAATATTGTTTCTATCCCTATTAGAGGTGCATGAACCTTGTCCTGTTTTTCACCCATGATCAAATATGGCCAGATATAAATGAGCAAATGCCAGCTATCTAATAAATATAATATCACAGCAGCATGCAGTTGACAATAAAATATTCAATTTAAAAAGCACAACTTGACAAATACAGATGAGAAACATTAAAGCGAGTTGCAACAAATATTAAAGGGAACGTGCAGCAAATATTTCAAGATCCCAATCTGGAAATTGCATGCTATTGAAATACTCGGTGGAGGATTCGGAGGAGAACAGAGGGACCAATTCCTTTCATCTTCGTGGAGCATTTTTGCTTTGACAGCCTGTTTCCATCTTTCCAACACAAAATGTTCTGTTCTGTCCACTTAGGCAAGGTGAAGATTGAAAGGGCTGCCAAGGATTGAAAGGGCCGCCATGTGCCACACAACCTGACTGCCCTTTAGCAAATGTGGTACACAACACACTTGTGTTATCAAGAGTCATAGGCTGCACCAATAGGAACACCAAGGAAATTCAGGCAACAGCTTACAGATCCTTCTCAGCGGCCGGCAAAGAGAGGGGACAGGCCAAAAGGAAGCCAAATGGCAATCCTAGGCTCCAGCCTCCCTCAACCTGATGCCCTCTGGATAATGGGACTACAACTCCCATCACTCCCCAGCCAGCAACAAAATGATGCCCAGCCTCAAACTCGTACAGATGAAAGGAAGAAAGTTGGGTAGGTAGTAACCAGAAGTGGATCAGTACTGCACAGTGACAGCATTTTGATATGACTTTAAGCAATATAGCTAAGTTGCATCTCATATAC